TTCTTGCTCACCCGGATTGAGCTTGCCAGCAGCAGCTCCTGCTCAGACCCGTTTGTGCCGCCATCCTGGGAGAGGCAGAGCCTCCCACCGGGCTCCTGTTGGGCGCCTCAGCGCTTTTCCAAGGCCGTGCTTGTCATCATCGATGCCCTTCGTTTCGAGTTTGCCCACTTTAACCCAGCCAAGGCCAGCCCACGGCCCTACGAGAACAAGCTGAGTTTCCTGCACCACCTTGTAACCTCCCAGCCACGCCATGCCCGCCTCTACCGCTTCCGAGCCGATCCCCCCACTGCCACCATGCAGCGCATCAAGGGCCTCACCACCGGCTCACTGCCCACTTTCATTGATGTGGGCAGCAACTTTGCCACCTACGCGATCCAGGAGGACAACCTGTTGGCACAGCTGGTGCAGAACGGTAGGCGGGCGGCACGGGTGTCCTGCTGGGGCAGGGCACATGCAAAACACTGGTCAGCATTCACATGGGACCTTTATTCGTCTCTCCTTGGGAAGAGAACTGCTTACACCACCTCCACCCTGTCAGCTAATTCTTTTGCCCTACTGAGATGACATTTATCTCAGACAGAGCTGCCATGCAGGCAGAGTTTTTCTGTCTTATACTGGGAGTAAGAAGCATCTGGGACTGTGGCTAGTATTTCTTCAAAGATGGCAAGAAAGCAGGTGAAAGTGGCCATACTGATGGTGACTGTCACAAGGTCACCACCAGGAATGGCCATACAAGGCCAAGGGCAGTCAGTCATGGCATGGCATGGCATGTTTGCGTTCTGGTGAGACACACAGTGAGGGAGGAGCTGGTGCCAGGTGTGCTGTGGGGGTGTCACTCAGGCAGCAAGCCCGCCTGGGCAGCAACCTCTTCACATTTTCTGTGTAGTTCGGTGCTGCTGGGGTGTGCTTAGTGCAGCTGTAAAGGGCTTGTTGGGGTGGGATGATGGAGTAGAGAGAAGGCGGCAGGATGCAGTTGTGTGTGAGCCAGAGAGATTTTCTTCCAGGACTGAGTGGCACAAATAGCAGTGCCTGGGACGAGGCAACGGGACTGGGTTTCCGCTCCCCCTGTGAGTGAGCAAGGTAGACAAACGCAGTAAATCATCCAAGGCAAAAAATGCTGGTGGACCCTGTGCGAGGGCAGGAAGAGAGAGTTCCTGCTCCCAGGCTGGAAAGGCACTGCGGAAACATGGAGGGCTGGCTGGGGGCAGGCAGGGGAAGCAGAACAAGGGCAGTGGGAAGCATCAGTGCTTTTGCCTCCACTTTTCCACGTATGAAACCCCACCACGGTTGTGTTTGAAGCTGGAGCCCAGGACTCACAGCGTCTACTCAGCCCCCGTCAGCAGCCATCTACCGCCTTGTGTTTTACACCGTGTTTTACAGTGGGGTCACAGGCCTTGGATGAGGGTCTGTCTGCTTTGTGCTGTACCTTCCCAAGTGCTGTGGTAGTACGGGTGGGTACTCACCTGCTTCCTGGCCTGTTCAACCCACGGACCTTTCTGCTGGGGGGTTGCATCAGAGGTCAACAATAAGGCATGAGGTTGTGCAGGTGAACTTGGTGTGGGGGGCACTCCCCATATTCAAACTCATTTACAGCCAGATGGTCATTTTAATTTGAGGTTGCTTTTGAGCGTGGGTTGGGTAGGATCCAGTGCTCCAGGCCCTGACGTGGACCTGCCCAGGCTCTTTGCACTAATGTGGTGACAGCACGATTCAGGTGGGCTCCCTGCTCTCATTAATTCCTTTCTTGCTGCCTCAGGAAGGAGAGTGATCTTCATGGGTGATGACACTTGGGAAGGGCTCTTCCCAAAGAAGTTTTTCCGCTCGTATTTCTTCCCTTCTTTTAATGTGAAGGATCTTCACACTGTGGATGATGGGATCCTGCAGCATCTCTATCCAACTGGTAAGCAGCTCTTTTCCCAGGGTCTGGATAACCCTTTACGTTATGTGGGGGTCCTCCTGCAAGTTTGGGGTAGGACTGAAGAGTTTTTTCTGTTACGGAGTGGCACTGGGCAGTTACATACCGCTGCCTGGGGATTACAGTGCTCTAGCTGGATTTTCACAGATAAGCCAGCTTTTGGGGCCTGTAAACTGTTTCTGTAAATACCTTTCCTCTGTTTGGAAGATAGTGCAGCTTGATGGGACAAGGTCAGACTTCTACAGCTGTCCCAGAAATGCGCTGCCAGGATGGAGGAGGAGGAGGAGCAGCTTAGCTCTGAGATGTGGCTGCCCGGGCAGGCATGCAGTGCTTCGGGAAACACATAACAGTGCAGCTGCCCAATAGGAGACTGGGGCACAGCACTGCTCTCAGCAGAGGATTGGTGGCTCCTGGTCTTGGAAAGAAGTTGAAATATGAGATTGTTTTGTGAATTTTAAGTGATTACAGACTCCTCCTTGAGGCGTTAGGACGAAGGGAAATGCTCTTTGCTTTATCTGTGTATGAATCTAAGTAAATCAGGGGTGCAGTGGTCTTTCTCAGGGAAGTCATTGTGCCTTGTGGGAAAGTTGCGGTTCATCATTTAACCCCAAATATGTTGGTTTTCCTGTGTCGAGGCTCTGAAGCAGAGGGGAGAGGCCAGGGTAACTTTCTAGCTAGGGACAGCGTTGGTGTGCCGGGCCCGTGTCCTGGGTGGGATGCAGAGGAGCTCATTGATGAGTCTGACCTGAAATATCTCCAGGGGAGGACTGGAGTTCTGGGTTCTTTTCCTGAGCATCCCCTTGGTTTAGTGCAGTTTGAGTATTTCAAGGTAACTTGGGTGACATTGGGCAATTCCCCTCCTGAGAGATGGTGAACAAAACCCGTGGATACTGGGGTGCTTGCCAGGTGCTGAGCTCCCTGCAGCATTGCACCCAGGCACCCACGAACCAAGAGTGTGCCTCTGTTAAAACCTGCATCGATCTACTTGAGGGCTGGGAGTGACAATGGCAGGAGGGGAGGAAACAGCAGTTTCTAGAGGCAACCAGAAAGGTCTGGCAGGATGATCCAGGCATAGAGCCCGTGCCTGATTCCTGTGCCAGTGTGTGATAACGCTGCTCTTGTTCTGCAGTGGACAGTGGTGAATGGGACATGCTGATTGCTCACTTCCTCGGCGTGGACCACTGTGGGCACAAACACGGACCTGACCATGCTGAAATGGCTAAGAAGCTCACCCAGATGAATGAGATGCTCAGGTGATTAGTGTGGCAGTGGGGGGTTGCCAGTTGGCCTTTTTCTTCAGCTGGGCCAATGAGCTCTTCCCAGGGCATTTACAGATGCAGAGGGCAACAGGGAACACTTACTGTGCCTGTTAAGACAGAGAAGGGCTTTGGGCAGCAGCAGCTGAAACCCCAGCTGTGGGGCAGTTTCAGTTGTGTAGGCACGTTTGAGAGAGGTTTGGTTTCAGACATAAGGTTGTCTTCAGGTCTTGGAGCCTTGGTTCTCAACCAAACTATGCAGCTGGAGAACAGCTGAGCCTTGCTCTCTCCGTCTTTAAAATTGAGATTGCCACACTGAGGTTTGGCTAACGTTCGAGAAACACTTGGAGAACCCTGACTGGGGAATGCTGCATTTACTGCACAGGCCCGTGAGTTGTGATTTTGTGTCAGAGGGCAGAATGGGATCCAGAAATCCTGATCACGCAGCTGTCCCTCAGCCCAAAATGCTGCAGCTTTCAACTCTTACAACTGCTTTAATTTTTGCTGCTGGACGGAGTAGGTAACTTCCCCTGCTGCATCTGAGAGTGCAGTATATATTGTGTCATACTTACTGCATCTTTCAGGGACAAATCCCTTTTTTTTTTCCTTAAAAGTAGGAGATTGCTCACACAATGTGATCCAACAGACAAGTCCTAAGTAGGAGCAGCCTGAAATTTGTTCCTGTTGAGAACATTCCTTCTGAATTGTATTTTGTTGAGTTCCCTGAAAGCACCAAGGAACCAGCCACCGTCCACAGGGGACCTGGGTAAGATCAGTCCGCTCTGATGGGGACTGATGGGCTCTGAACTTTCAGTTCAGTTTTGAAGCATCCATCACTCTGGTTCCTGGCTCAGTTGTTATAGCTCTGCGTCAGCGCTTAGTTTTGGTCAGATCCTTCTGTGGGCTTTACCTGCGTGGTACTGGCAGGGGGACATGTCCTCTCCCACCTGGACTACCTGGGCCCTTGGCCAGGTACGGTTTGACCTTCCTTATCCCTGTGACAGGTCCTTGGTGGAGCACCTGGGGAATGACACCCTTCTGCTGGTTGCTGGGGACCATGGCATGACAGAGACCGGAGACCATGGCGGTGACAGCGAGAAGGAAGTGAATGCAGCACTGTTTGTGTACAGCAAAACGCCCCTGTTTGGCACTGGACCTCCCGAGGTGAGAAGCAGCTGATCCTTAGCTGTCACTGCCTGATGTGGCATCCGGGGCAAAAATTGCATCCTGGGGTTTCAGAGAGTAATGGTTTGATTGGGATTGTTTAGATTGAGAAGGGGTGGGGAGTCTGTCACCGTTCCCAAGAGAAGAATGGAAAGGCTGACACAGGATGCAGGTGACTGAAGTGTTTGGGATCCATGTGTGGAGCCCTCCAGCTGTGATGGGTGTCTGAGTGGGGCCAGGTGAGCTGTTAGCCCAGGCCAGACCTGAGGACCTGCAGCTCCCAGCAGGCATCCTCCCCTCTGTGAGGTGCTCAGGGAGACCTGAGCTGTGCCTCTGCCTTCCCCTGGGTTTTTTCCCCTCCTGGCTTCCCCGGATTCCCCTCTGAACAGGGATGTCTTCCCCACCATCCTCTAGCTGTGTTGCTGTGTTGTTTCCAAATTTCTGATTCCTCCCCTGTCTCTCCAGGAGCCTGAGGCTGTTGCCCAGGTGAACCTGGTGCCCACTGTGGCCCTGCTGCTGGGTGTGCCCATCCCCTACAGTAATATTGGGGAGGTGATGGCTGAGCTGTTCTCCGGGGACGGTGACGCTGTGTCTGCAGCCTTGCAGCAGCTCTTGGTCTATCACATCAACGCCAAGCAGGTACGGCCTATGGTAGGCCTCCCCGTTGAACTAGAGAGGAGAAGAAATGGCTTTTTAAGCACGTACCTCTTCTGTTTGGTGGAGGTGGGGTGGTGGCATAGTGTTATCTTCGTGGGGAACTTATTTTGAAGAGTTACCTCCTTGCAGTGCTTGCTCCAGTAAAAAGCAGCACTGTTTTCCCTAAAGAGAAATGAGAGACACCTGTTTAGTGCTTGGTGGTGAGCGCTGTGGTGTGGAAAATACTGGCCGGGAAGGTGGTACTCCTTTCAGGATGAGGGTTGGTCCCAGATGGTCAGAGTGGGATTTGTTTTTTAGGGAGAGGCTGGTGAGGAGGCTACTTTCTCAAGGCAGAAGACAACTAAGGTCACGTCTTGTTAATGGAGATTCAAGAATACAAATGGATGTTTTGATGCTGCCTCAGTTTTGGAGGAGAAATGGTGTTAGCTAAAAAGCTATTTTAGATCAGTGACAGAAAAAAACAATAATGAAGGACTAAATAAGCACCAAGTAGCAGGTGACAGTAAAGCAGGATGGAGAAGGAACAGTTTACACCAAGAGCAATGAAATACATAACCCCAAGAGTTGAATGACAAAATTTAAATTAAAGTTACTATACCAGGTACAGAAAGAGTCCAGGCAATGGAGCAGGCCATGTGCCAGGGCAAGCCAGAGCGTCTGTGGAGGACGTGAGGGCCATCTGTTGTGGCTCTGAGCATGCTACAGAACCAGATTTGCCGCACGCTTTACAAGGCATGTGTCTTAACTGAGTGCTGGCCTGCCTTTGAGGGACCCCTAGATTGCTAGGAGTGCAAGAATAACTCCAGCTCCTCGGTTGGACAGCACTGGTGCATGTCAGCGAGGAGCTGGAGAGGATACGATTGCTGACTGGAAGACAGAAATGTTCAGCCTCTGCTGTTCATAGAGCAGCAGCGTGCTTTGTCATTTACGGATGATAGTGTACATTACTGTCCATTAGTCACTGAGGGAGGTTGTGCAGGCCTGGGAGAGCGCTGGTGCCTATGTTTGCCATTCATTGGCAGGAGCAGGCTGATTCTGCCTGTGCTCTGAGGCATGGAAGGCATGTGAAGATACTGGTGTGTTTCAGGGCGTGAGCAGATCTATGCTGCTATATGGATGCCCTGCCCTGGTAATGCCCTTGTAAGACTTTTTTTTTTATGACGTTGGGATCATAGCTGCCTCTGTTCCTGTCCTCTTGAAGTAGGAAGCAGAATGAGCTCTCCTTAGCCTAGGGTACAATGGGTTAATGTGCATTTGTGTAATTGAAGAGGAGGGAGCAGTTTGGTTTGATTCACTATAAGCTCTTTAATCTGATGTCTATCCTCAGTCAAACAATGTAAAAGTCAACATTGGGTGCAGATTAATAGCTAGTTATGACTCGAACTTCTGGGGGACGTTTGCCTTGTTGTTACCAAAGACTGTATAGAAGCCCTTAGTCAAGCCCAACATTGCCAGAGGTGTATCTGCAGGCAAAGAACTAAGAGGAGTTGGTGTGGCTGTCAGGATGGATATGTCACTTGAGAGGGATGTCCCTTCGGCAGAGGGATTGTGGTTCCTGTCGGTTACATCCTGGATTTGGGTGACCCGCCCTGGGTGATGCAGGTGGGGATGGGTCTGTCCTCGCAGGGGCTGACAGACTGGGGCTGTTTCTATTCTGAAGGGGCTGTGTGAGGCAGTGAACTCTGTTCCCAGTGGTCCCAGTGTTGCTGTCTGACCCTGTGTCCTCTCTCCCATAGGTGGACCGCTTCCTGCACGCCTACTCACTGGTGGCTCAGGACCTGCCAGCAGAGCAGCTCCAGCGCCTGCAGGACCTCTTCTCCGGCGCCGTGGAGGAGCACGCTCAGCTCTTGGCCCAGGTGCAGGGGCTGACGCTGGTGCCGCCGGAGCTGGAGTCCAGGCTGGGAAGCCTCATCGGTCGCTTCCAGCTCTACCTGCGGGAGGCACGGGCTGTGTGCACCCAGTCTTGGGCCCGCTTCCATCCCCTGCGTATGGTGGGGGGCTGCACCCTTATTGCTGCTTCCTGCTTGCTCTGCTACATGGCCTCAGAGCTGGCCACAGCATCAGACTCTTTCTATCGCAGCTGTCTCCTGTACCCGCTGCTTTGGGGCCTGGTGGTGGCTGTTCTGCTTGGGCTGGCCTATGCATTCACCCAGAATGGGCTGGATCTCCTCCTGGTGTCGTCATGGGCAGCTGCTGCTTCTCAGCTGGGTTTTTTCTGGTACTGGTGGGGCCGGCATCCCAAGCGAGCCCGTTTGGCGGGCAGTCAGCCACCCTTGGCCAACGTTAGCCTGAGGCAGAGGCTGGAAGCCAGGACGGGGCCGGCGG